TCAGCACCCCCAAACTCAGCACCCCCAGACCCGGCACCCGCAGGCTCAGCACCCCTAGCAGCACCATAGTCAATAGCTACCTCGACAGGCTCGACTGCGTCTACCTGGGACACACCTGAGGGGGCAGGACCCTGAGGAGGGAGGGGGTCTACCGGGGGAGGACCTGGCGCGAGGAAGAGCGGCGGGGGGGGGAGGGGGGCAGTGCGGTAGGGGAAGAGACGGTAGTAAGGAACCGACTCGTCAAACGTGACGTCCTGAGAGGACAGAACACGGCGCGAGGTGGGGTGGTAAAACTGCCAACCAGGTGCGTCAGGGGGGAAGCCAAGGAAGACACAGGGAACAGCACGGGAGGACAGCTTGTCCGCAGACAAGTCGCGGACGAAAGCTCGAGATCCCCAGACACGGAACGCAGACGCATCGCCAACCTTCCCCGTCCACCGCAGAGTAGGTGTGGTCTCCGGCATGGAGACCCGGGGCTGGAGGTTGAGCTGATGCGCCGCGTACTGAACCGCGAACGGCCACAGAAAATGGGGAGCAGCCGCATGGAACATGGACGTACGAGCGACATCCATGACCATGCCAATGCGGCGCTCAGCAATCCCATTTTGCTGCGGAGAGGCCGGAAGAGTGAACGTCTGGCGGATGCCCTCCGCACGACAGAAGGCTCGCTGAAGGTCGGAGGAAAACTCTCCACCTCTGTCGGAGTGCAGACGCAGAACAGGAAGGTCCGAGCCGAAACTCTCGCTGAGCTGACGACGGGCAGCGCGGATCCAGTCGATCAGCACCTCAGTGACCTCACCCTTGCGGCGCAAGGGGAAGACTGTGGTGTAACGCGAGTAGTCGTCAACGACCAGCAGAAAGTAGCGCTCGTGACCCTGTCCACGGACGCGGGCGGGGCCCCACACGTCCATGTGAAGAGTCTGTAGGGGAGCCTCCGTCGGAGGGAACTCGGAGGAGTGAGGAGCGGCGCGCTGCCACCCCTCGACGCAAGGAACGCAGGTAGGGGCAGGCCCCGGTGGAAGGGGAGGGAGAGACCGGGGAAGACCAGTGACAAGGACACGGGAGGCCATGCCTCGGAGACGAGGAAGGGAGGGGTGACCAAGGCGGTGGTGCCAGAGGAGAGTCTGGTGAGACAGGAGGCGACACGAGCAGGGGGCAGACTCAGGACCAGACCGGGACGCTGCAGCAAACACCTGACCCGACGCGGCTACCAGACCAGACTCAACAACCGGAGGAGACACTGTAGTCAGGGTGTACAGGCTCGACCCAGGCTGACGGGTGAACGTGGCCAGGTGCCGGCCCGTCCGAGTACACGAATAGTGGGTCACCCGCTGACCTCCAGGAGTGAACTGGTCAACCCACGCGTCCTAAAGGTCAGCTCCACTCACCAAGTTCGTGGAGAACGAGGGGAGGTGGAGGCCAGGCAGAGAGCCAGACGGGACCGCCGGACACGGCAGAACCGTGGAGGAGTGTGCAAGGACCGGACCCCCAGAGGGGTCAGCCAGAGAGACTGCCACTGGCCGACTGAGCGACGAGAGTGTGGTGCAGTCGCGAAAGAAGGAGCGGGAAGCACCCGAGACAAGGGTGAAAGTGTGCAAGGCCGCAGAAGGCGCAGTACCAGAGAGAGCAGACTCACCAGCACCTGGAGCAGTGGACTCACTAGCGCCTAGAGCAGCAGCCTCACCGGCACCTGGAGTAGGAGACGCACCAGCACCTACAGCAGCAGCCTCACCACTACCTAGAGCAGCAGACTCTATACCTGGGTCAGGTGGCACACACAGGTAACAGGCACCCTCAGCACTAGTAGGCAATGCATACATGGCAGTGAGGATAGCATTATAGTCAAGAGCAAAGGTATCTACCCTCTGTCTAAGCAGCTCCAGCCAGGAGGGGAGCTCAGCGTCGTCACCAAACTCTGTACGCCAGGCGTCGCTCAGACTGGAGAAGCAGCGGGACTCTGTGTGACCAACTGTCCCGCAAGGCTGACCAGCCCGAGCACCAGTGCGAATGACGTACGGGCAGCGAGCTGTACTCCGTGACCCTCTACTCTGAGCGTACCACTCACGAAGCTGCTGGGGCGAAAGGACCGCGCGCGGACGCTGCTGCAGCTGCACCTGGTCACTACAAGAAGCTCCCGAACGACCCGCTCCAGGGCGACTCCCACCATGGCCACCCCTACAACCCCAACTAGCGTACCACTCACGAAGCTGCTGGGGCGTGAGGGACGCGCGCGGACGTCGCTGGAGCTGCATCTGGCCACCGCCAGTAGCAGCAGTAGCACCTAGGGCAGCAGCACCTAAGCAACACCTAGGGCTCCTCTTTTTTGTTTTTGTTTTTGTTTTTTTTTTTTATTATTTATTTATTTTAGGGTTTGGCAGGGCGCACTGGGCGCTGCAGAGGCGGCTCGCGGGCTGCAGGGGTGGCTCGCGGGCTGCAGGGGCAGTGCGCTGGCTGCAAGAGGCAGGCGCGCTGGCTGCAGGGGCGGTTCGCGGGCTGCAGGGGAGGCTCGCGGGCTGCAGACGGGCGGCGCGCGGGCTGCAAGGGTCTGCGCGCGGGCGGCTTGCACGGGGCGGCGCGTCGCGGGGGCGGCGCGCTGGCAGGCAGGGCGGACGGGCGTCGCGGCGGGCTGGGGCAGCCCGCTCTGGCGACGCGACGGGCACGGGCAGGGCCGACGGGCGACGCGACAGGCTGCAGGGGCGCGCGACGAGACGGGCTGCAGGGGCGTGCGACGGGACGGGCTGCAGGGGCGCACGGCGCGGCGGGCAGCAGGGGCGCGCGACGCGACGGGCAGCAGGGACGCTTACCAGGGGCGGGTGCATGGCAGGGCCGCGGTGGGTGGTTAGGTCAGGGCCGCAACGGGGCGGCTGTAGGGCAGGGCCGCGACGAGGCGGCGGCAGAGCAGGGCCGCGACGGGGCGGCAGCAGGGCAGGGCCGCGACGGGGCGGCGGTAGAGCAGGGCCGCGACGAGCGGCTGAGGGCAGGGCCGCGACGGGCGGCGAGGTCAGGGCCGTGACGGGCGGCGAGGTCAGGGCCGCGACGGGCCGTTAGGGCAGGGCCGCGACGGGCCGAGAGGGCAGGGCCGCTACGGGCCGAGAGGGCAGGGCCGCTACGGGCCGAGAGGGCAGGGCCGCTACGGGCGGCAGTAGGGCAGGGCGCGCGACGGCGCAGGTGAGGCAGGCGCGAGGCGCGCTTCGGGCAGGGCAGGAAAAAAAACGATCGTGGTGGGCCCTTAAAAAAAAAAACGTTCCCACTAGGGAACTTGCTCTGAAACCATGTGAAAGATAGAACGAGGAATGACTGGAAACAGGGCAGTACAAGGTTTGTATAGGCAAAACCTAACAATACTGTACCCCACAAGGAGTGCCCCACTACAGCCTACAATATAGTTCTGACAAAGCATCCATCACATCCCGGTGAGTTGTCGCATTACACTTGGCAATCGCATGCGTGATAGCGCCAACGGTGTAGTCGTTCTCCAGGTGGTTTCCGCCAGCTGGGCATGGAAGACGAGGGTTACGGTTCGTTCTTCAATCACACTTGTTAGATCCCAGCTCGCGGCCACCCGGAATAGTCATCTCCACCTACTTACCCCACCCGCGCTCATTTAACTATTGTGTTTCAGCATCTTATCGAACTGCACTCTTGTTGCAAACCGCACAGAACCGCGACCGTGACCACCACTGATGGCGAAGCCAAACAGTTGGCGTCCAAGCGCAACCGGTTCTATCAATCCGAGACTAGCGCCAGCTCCGATGGCCAAGATCTTGCACCGCCTGTCACCAGATCTAGGGCTTCGAAGAAGGCGGAGTCTAATGTGAAGAATCAGCAGGCGCAGGAGCAGAGCCATGTGAACGGGAGGTCTAAGAAATTCACGTCTCACATGGAGGAGAAGACGCCTGAACCGGCGCCAGAAGACCTAGTAGCCTGCATCGCACGGAATTATCACAAGTTGTCGTATCGCAACATGACACTGATAAATCACCGCGGTGTCGGGTCTGAGGTGGATAAGGACGACATCATGTCGATCGAGGACAGTCAGTGGCTTACCGATTCTGTGATCGATTTTCACAACATGTGAGTTTCACACTTTCATGTATCCTTTTCGGAGCCTGGTACACACCATGTTATTCAAGTGGTTTATTGCTGGTCTAAATTATGCGTCAATGCACTTGCAGGCTGCTTAGCATCCGGAAGCCGGAGCACAGTGACGGAAAGACATGGGCTGCAATGGACTGCGAGGCGTACAAACAGGCGAATGTGTATGGAACTCCTGTGACGCTGGGACACGGGCTGCCATTGTTGGAGCACGACTATCTGGCCATCCCTGTTCTGGAGGCGTAAGTTTTATACATATCTGTCGTTCAAGCGGTGTTTATAGTGTGACATATATGACTGTCTATCATACAATACTTCCTCCCCCTACGTGTTGCGCTCAAAGTGAACACTACTCGCTCGTCATCGTGATATCTCCATCGGTGCTCAACAAGTCCGCGAAATCTGCGGGGAGAGAGCGTCTGAAGATGGTCTTGTTTGACAGTGGCATCAAGTCAAGGAATACTCGCAAGATCTTTGCCGGCACCAAACTGTGAGTGAGTTTTCATCGGGCGAGGGTACATCTATTTGTCTAAAACCCCCTTTACAATGACGTTGGTGTGCAACGTGCAGTGTGCTGTCGGAACTTGCCAAAACGAGCAACCCTAAGGCGAACATGGAGCGTGTGGGCAAGCTGCCCGTGGAGGCGGATTGCCAGATTCTAACGGTGAGCACAGTCATGTGATTCCGTACACTAGTGCTCAGTTTAGCTTGACACGTGTACAGATTCCTCACTATATTCTACTTATGCTCGAGTGCAGGAGGATAGGCTGCCATAGCAGCCGAACAAAGAGGACAGTGGCGTTTTTGTATGTCAGTACCTACGGACCTTGGTGAACACCGACTTCACGACCGTCATGAATGGCATGTGGTTTCAGGGAGTGACTGCGCACCAATACAGGCGGGATATGCGTCTCGACTTATGCGCACACGCATGCGGGGATCTTCTTCGGCAGCTGGAGCAAACGGGGATTGAAATCCCTTCACAAGACTCAAGCCGGGTTACGGACGAGGGGGCAGTGGTGCAGGAGAAGAACGCTGGAATAGGAGATGCGAGGCAAGTCCAGGACACTCTCTTGGAGAGGACGTACGGGTTACGGAGATGATGAAGGATGTGGCTACCCTGAAGAATGATTTTTGGATCCTGGACGCGAGTTTCACCGTCATAGCTAACGTCATAGGATTGAGGCGGGATGAGGTGGTGTAAGCGGCAACCCAACTATTCCTGCATGATCAGCTCGTGTCCCCTGGCGGGAAAGCAGAGGCAGGTGGCAGCAAGACCACTCCTCGAACCCCACAGCGTCCATCGGGTTGTAAGAGACGGGATGACAGCAGTCCAGAGGAGGTTGGAGTACGCAACGCCACCCGGATTGCTCTGGCCTCCTCGTTCGCTCCGTATGACATGCCCCCCGCGCGCATTTTGCCGAACCCGCTGCTGGCGCACGGAACCATACCTCACTGGATGTTCACACGCGGGAGACAGCTGATGGGGGTTACGGTGCCGGCAGGGGAGGCGTGGAGAGATACGCGAGCACATGAGACGGTGAAGGCCGAAATGGACCAAAATCTGGTATCCGATACAGATGACGAAGACGATGAAGACGGCGCGAGTGCCACCAAGTATACCGGAGTGAAGATAGAGAAGGACTCTTGCAAGTATGGTGTGAAGATCCTGATCAAGGAGGACGGGAAGCGGAAGCAACAGCGCCTGAGAGCGTACACCTCGATCGACGAGGCGGCGTACGCGTACGCGGAAGCTGCGTGCATGCTCAGGCCGCGAGACAAGATACCCAACACAGTGAACCTTACAACTGCTGAGAAGGCGCTGCTGCGTGGATGCACCAAAGACGATCTGCAACTCCTTGTGGAAGCAAGGAAGTGGTGGAGGTGGAGGAGCTGGCGGGAGGCGCTCGAGGGCGTCAGCAGCAAGCTGAGACGCGGAAGGAAGCGGAGGAGCGCCAGAGGTGGGGTTTAGAGGCAGAGGGTGGAAGACAGCAACGCCATAGGGGCGAACGAACGAGATGACCCTGATAATACTGAGAGTGGGGGAACCATCCCAGCCAACAACGACAACGTCGATCGTACGAAGATCACGAACCAAGGAGTGCATGTGGAAGAGGCGACTACACATGATAAGTCGTCTGCACCTGCTGCATAGGGGATGTAGAGGGACAGTATATTTGAGCCCTAGTGATATACGGCGATGTTAGTGGGCGTTGCAATGCGAGACATTGATAGTTTAATCTTGCTTTCTTGTATGCATATGGCCAAGATGGTGAAAGTGCGTTCATAAATGGTTGGGCCACGTGGTGTTTCCAAATGATGTTGAATTAACCCGGTATGAAGGTGCAGAATCGTGCACGGAGTGAATGTGTAGTTGTTTGAAAGTGTGCGGGATAAAACTTAGATGGTTACAATCCCGAACCACAAGGATATGGGTTGTTCACGTGGAGGTGCGCAGTATGTGGTTCAGGGGTGCACACATATCACAGACAGCGGATGACGTGGGGTTCAATCATTTGTCAATTCGGATTGCGGTAATCCGAAAGTCCACGATGTCGGACTCCCTAAACTGCTGACGGAAAAAACGGGGGTGTGGGGTTGGGTGGAGTTGCGTGGAGGACTTGATGTAGAAATATAATTCGTAGAATCATTATGTGAGCATCACACTGGATACTTACGTTACAAGAATGGATACTTCGCTCGCCTCCGAGGAGACAAGGTCGGGAGGGCGGGCCCGTCGTGTCTCAATGCCGCCGGAGTATCTGCGGGCGTCTTATCAGCCGACGATGCCGCGAGGTCGATTGTAGAGCGGGACGCGAGAGGCGACGTTGCCTAAGCGTTTGAGTATTTCCAAGAAGGCCAAGGAGGTGGTGCATGTCAGATGCCATAGGCCTGTTCCTATATTGTCCTCACTCCTGCCCTCCCCTCTTCTCTTCCTTCCTCAGCCTTCTCCTTCCTGCGGCCTCCCCGCTCTCTCCCTCACAGAGCCTCCCTGCTCGTGCGGTTGCGCTCTGGCTGCATGCATTGTTGCGGTCTCACCCTTCCTCCTCTCGACACTTCGCCAGCTGGAACCCCATCCTCCATATTTCCGCGTTACACCTCCTGCTTCGTTACCGAATACACTCCTTCTGCGCACCCAATTCCTGGTTGCGTAAGATGGTAACTCCTCCTGCCATCTTATGCGACATGCATCAGGACGAAGGTATGCAAAATCGTTTGGAGGGTTGACGCTGTGTCGAACTTGCTGTGTTTCAAATGGCGAGGACACCCAGTATCTGTTGTTATGCTATATACTGACATGCGGTTTATGACATTTTTGGTTCTGTATCAACCACACAGATGACGGCACGGGCGCCGAGACTGCAGATTCGTCCCGGAGTAGTGACGAGGAGGAGGAGGCCGACTCTGACACATCGGCTTCGGGTTCACCCGAAGAATCCGGCGGCTGGGCTGCGAGGGGGAAGGCGGACGACGATGGGAGCAAGGGTACCGCTACGCCCAATGCTGAGACACAAGACGAGCGCGAAGAGAGGGAACCGGAGTTACATTGAGATGACGAGCGCACGCCCGTGGATGGACATGTGAACCGCATCGGCGGAACACCATTGGACACCAACAACGAGGATGTGCGCATCTCGAGCAAGGTCCTCGAGCAAGTTATCCAGGCGCAGGATAAGAGCGCAAAGGAGAACGCTCGGTTGGAGGAAATATTCTTGAATGCAATGTCCAAGCCTTCCGGTGGCTCTCGACGTCGTAAGGCGCATAAGCAGAGAGATTCGGGAGAGGGGTGTATGAACCCCAAGAATTAGCGCGTCGAGTCGTGGAGCTGGGAGTCAGATGATGGCGCCGAGGACGACGACGAAGGCATGCAGGGTTCGGGTGGCCGTCATATGCGCATCGCCAAGTCTCCTATTCTGGAACGCGCTTTGGAGCATCTGCCGACAGACAAGGAGTGGGAGGTGAGCGGGCATGCATCCGTTGCGCACGATACTGATTGTTGGACGTAGTTGCCACATTGTGCCTGTTTGTGTTGGGTGTACTGACTTTGTGCAATGTGCATACAAGATGTGCGCAGCGGGTGTGCGAACCCTAAACCCGGATGAACATGTTTCTCAACAAACCCACGTCGACGATGATGTTCTACCCGAGCAGCGACAATAAGACACACGGCGTGTGTGCAGTGCTGGACCGCCTACCTCATAGCTTCGCGTGTTTGGCTGTGGCTGCTGACAAGTCGCGCCGTGCGGATCTCAACAAGACACTGTCAGAATGGAAGACCAGGGCTGCCGCTCGCGTGAGAGACATTGCACTTCCCAAGCTCGGCCTATTCCGTGACGATAGGGACGCCTCCAGTCCGTGGGCACCAGAGAAGGAGCGCAGCATCGAGAAGATAAGGGAGCGCATTGGGCTTGGAGCTGACCCCCCTGGTGAGTGCGATATTGGATGTATAAAGCACCTCATGAGTTTCGCTTATTGTATGGATGGCGACCAGTGCAACTGATTGGGCGCATGTAGTGTGCAGAAACTCTCGTGCTCACGAGCTGGGCGCCCGACAGGGATGGGATCCTGTTCGCATCCCGGGCCTTCGCGACCTGTGCGAAGGCCGCATTCAAGCCGAAGAAGGCCGGGCTGGTGATGACACTGAAGGTGTATCACCTGGCCTAGTTGGAGCATGTGGTAATTTTTTGTGCTACATGTGGATGTTTTGTTGAGCGGGGTTGGTAGACATGAGAGTGACGTATTTTGTGGTGGCGTAGGTATCCGACAGCGTCATCTACTGGGAGGAGAGGAAGGATCAGCTTTCCAACTCCGCCCGTGGGAACGCCCATGTTGTGAATGGGCTCAAGGTCCTCGTGAAGGAGGCAGTGGAGAGGGCGATCAGGATCGGCAACCCCGAGTATGACGCGGAACGCGACGCATGGATATGGGGGCGTCATGGCCTGCGGATTTCTCCGTGCGGACTGGAGCACATGAAGCCTATGGCCGCAGCTCCTTCCGAGGACCAAGTTGGGGATGATGACCTTTCGGTGTCATTTGGGGCAGAGTAGATAAACACACATGTTATTTCGATGGTTGCTGATGCGGGACGTTGACGGGAAAGGATGGGAGCTTGTTGATTGAAATAAGAGTCACGTGAGTGTGCGGGAGGCGCATAGTAAAAGAGTGGTGTCGGGTTTTTGCATGCGGGATATGGCTACTAGTGGGTGAGAGTGTCATTTGTGAAATGTTAAGAGCTTGTGTGTGTGTTGTTGAATGAATGATAAAATACATTCATGGGGAAGAGATGTGTGTCTTGACAAGCGTAGCCAACAGCGGATGAGTTAGGTGGGGGGGCACTCATCAACCAGGTGTTTGTGTAGCTCAATGTCACGCCGCGATTTGCGGCGCGTGTCACGGGGTTTGCCAAATGGCGCATCCGTGTTGGATCGTGGCCATCTTAATCGCGTGCACGTGGCCCTAACGGAGTGGATAACAGTGTCGTCAGAACGTGTTGAGCCAATGGCATACAAAATACGCATGGATGCAAGGATACGTGTCACCCCACGGGCCGGTGTAGGGATAAGATGGAAGCGCATATGCGGTGAATAGGAGGGAGGCGCGCTATGCTATTAGTGGTTCACGGGATGCGGCAGTTGTATCGTCGTAATTGATTCGTGTGGCAGTGACGAGTAGGGGTGGCGATGAGTTATCGAAAGAGTACTAGATAGACGAAACAACGATTGAAAGGCAAATGTGCAGTATGGATGTAGAATGTGAGCGTGCCGTGGCAGCTCGGTATTGGACACGAGGTGTATAGGATGACGGTTAGGATGGAGTCGTCAGCGCGTCACGTATGTACTACTACTGGTTAGCGAGAGTGCAGGCAATGTGTACGAAACGGAGGTAATGAGACAGATGTACAGTGGGTATGCAACGGTTGCGCGTGTGCGAAGCCTTGATGCACCAAGAATGTGATGCCACGTGGGGCCATGTTGGTGGTCACTGTCAGGAGGATATGTGATATGCGATTCGCGGAGGTACATACCACGTGTCAGGAATGTACAGGGTGTGTGATGTGGAGATGGACGGCGGAGATGTGCATGTGGTGTTACAGCGAGGCTGGGCGAGTTGGTGCAGGCGAAGGAGTGTGCAACTAGGTGCCCTTGAGACACGTGAATTGCGGAGATTGCGTGACGACATGTGGATCCGGCGACTGAGCTGCGGGTACGTTGTGTTACGGGTACGCTTACGTGGCCAAGTGGGATGATGTTGGATGCCACATGGATGGGCGCATACGGAGTGGCAGTTGAGGTTGCTGGTTTGTAACTTTCTAGTTGGTTGGCGTGGATACTAGAATTAAACTTTTGAGTGTTGGTGCACGTTGCGGGTAAGCAAATAAAAAGTTGCGGGTGTAGTATCTGATTTGATCCTCGCAATTGTACAGAATGCAATGGTAAAGTGACTGGACAGTTGCTTCGCAAGTGACGTGCGGTATGCAGTTTTAGAACCTTCACTTTTTTTTACAGCACAAAAGATATCTTGGAAGTTGCGAAAGAGTGTTTTGTAAGTTGCTGTTCTAACTTCCCTTTTTCGTGATGGCGGAAGCAATGCGCGACATGGAGCTGCATCTGGTGCACGGCATGGTGCTGAAGGTGCAGCTGGAGGAGGTGGCTGGAGGCGTTGGGGAGCGAGTGGCGGCGTTGGAGACCAAGTTGAGGGAGCAGGGAGACGCCATGGCTGCTTTGAAGCGCGACGTGGCCGACATGCGCCGTGCCATGGCCCACGTCAAGGGGATGATGGCGACGGGCGCTTTGGCGGTGAAAAGTGAAGGGGAAGGGGGCTTAAAAAGGAGTGCGCCGGGAGAGGCAGCGGAGGGGATTGGCACGCAGCTTCCGAAAGGCGCACGGCTGGACAACGCTTTTGCTGAGCTGGACATGGAGGAGGTGAAGGCGTAGGTGGAAACGGTGAGGGGAGAGGCGCGGGACGCGGCGACTAAGATGCGCGCGGAGATGGGCGCGCTGGGGACGGAACTTGCGCGATGAGGGCTGAGGCTCAGCGGCAGGCGGCGGAGGTGGCGTACGTGAAGGGGGCGGCAGTGTGCACAGAGGGGCATATCAACGACGTGAAGCTGGAACTCGCGGCGCTGAAGGCTGGTGCTGCGGACAAGAGCCGCGGCGAGCGCGAGGAGAGCAGCGCAGAGGAGCATGCGGGAGCGGAGAGGCGGAAGAGGGAGGGGTCACTGGGGAAGGAAGGGGAGGTGGCATGTGCTGCTGCGGGCATCGATTCTAAGCTTACTACCGCTTGTAGTGGGAGCGAAGAAAAGGGAGAGGAAGAGGAAAGAGAGAGCGAAGAGGAGTGGGAAGCAAATGGTGAGGCGGTTGACACGGAGGCTGAGCTGCAGGAAGTGTGGGAGCGAGTGGAAGCTCTGGAGGAAACGAGCCCTAAGACGTGGGAGGTAAGTACTCGGATGCTCTGGCTGTCCCTTTGTTTTGTACTGCTGTGGCAAGGATGGGTGCAAGCGCAGCCTATTTGCTGTGTAAGATGCGGATGCTATGTCACTGCCTATTAATATGACCTTGTTGCTGCATGTGGCTGCAGGCAGTGATGAAGCTGTGGAGCAAAGTTACTCCAGGCGAGACGTGCATGGACCTCAGCAGCATCCACCTCTCCGACCGTGCTCTCACGCGAGCCACCTCCTTGTGCTCTCTCACGTGGCTCAGCCTTCGGACTTCCTCCAGCTTCGCTGTAGAGGGGGTGCCATAGCTCTTCTCCCACACAAGTCTCACGTTTCTGGATCTGTCATTTAAAAACGCAACGGATGCTTCTTTTGACGGCATTGGCGCCCTGAAAAATCTTTGTTCACTTTATCTTGAGAAGACCAGGGTAGCCGATGCAGGCATAGCAAAGCTCCTGGGGCTGCCCCTCAAGATGCTGTCCTTAGATATTTGTGTGTGGGTTACCGCTGCCAGCATGGTGCATGTCGGAAAACTGGCATCATTCGAGTGTCTCAAGCTGAAGAGCAGTGGGGTGAGGGAGGACGGGCTGAAGCACTTGACTGCCCTCACCCCACTGAAGGTCCTCAGCTTGTGTTCATGGGTGACGGATTCCAGCATGAAGCTCCTGAGGAATATGAAACAACTGGAGAAGCTAGGGTTGTGGAAAGGCAAAATAACCGCTGCAAGCATCAAGTGGCTCAAGGGGCTGAAGCGCCACCAGGTAGTTGCAACAGGTGATGGGGATGTAGAGGAGCTGATCAGGGACAATTTTCCTGAAATGCTTGTGACCGGAGCGCCGCTCTGATATTTCTAATGCCCCGCCTCAGGCTTGTTACAATGTGTGTAAAAGATGTAATGCATGTATCTGTTTGTTACAATAAATAAAACCGTAGTAGTTTTGCCCAGCATCCGCCTGGGCGGGGAGGCGAAGGGAGAGGAGAGGAAGAGGAAAAGGGTGGCTGGGAATGGAAGGACGGGAGACAGGGGGACGCAGCTGCTGCCCAAGATGCACTGCTAGATGCACTGCTAGATGCACCAGACGCGTGTTTCCACTGACAATTAACACACATACATACACTCTGTACAACCCATGGCTAAAAGCAATCGGTTACAATCTCCAAAAAAAAAAGTAAAGAAAAACTCTAGAAATGTTGGACGAAGAAATTTGACAAAAACAAATTCAGTAGTTCGACAATATAAAACTACAGTAGTACCGTGGTATTGCTATATGTGTGCATGTTACTGTAGCAGGTGTCCCTTCGCGTGATTTACATGTAGTAGTGCGAACAATCTCGCAACTGTTCGCGTGACATATGATTTTACCCCTTCGTAGAGTCGACTCGACTCGATATTTAGCCCATTTCATGAACAAGTACATCACTGAATAGGTACTTCCGATACTACAAATCTTTTGTATGCTTCCTTTATTATCAATAATTGTTCTCACACTTGACCAGTACAGGAATTCCAGTCTTCCGCTGCAAAGAGACTAAACTCTAAAAGATCCTAATGTCAAATCATGTAGCCTTTAGTGATGCGTGTCATACGAGGTACAGCAGTTAGGGTTAGGTTTATGTACCCCAACCTGCAATAGTCAATCATCACATCAGTTTCTAACATGATATCACCTAAGTTAGGATCCTGTAGGATCCTGTTCCTCTGCCTAACACCCGTAGCACCCTACCGTTGCCCCCGTACCGTCCCCTAACGCTTGTCGCGCTTGCCTGTCCCGTCCCGTCGCGTCGCGCCCGTCTGTCCAGTCCCGTCGAGTCGCGTCTGCCCGTCCCGTCCCATCGCGTCGCGTCTGCCCGTCCCGTCCCGTCGCATCGCGTCGCGCCTGTCCCGTCCCGTCCCCGCCGGTCGCGCCCTGCGCCCTCCCTGTCTGCGCGCGATACGCCCTGCCCGTCCGCGCCTGTTGTGCCCTGCCCGTCGCGCCCGTTGCGCCCTGCCCGTCGCGCCAGCTGCGCCCTGCCCGTCGCGCCCGTTGCGCCTTGCCCTGTCAGAACATATATATAGCTTATGCTGTTGTGTAGGCTATAGTGGGGTATCCCATAGGGGGTACAACCCAATTAGGGTTTCCTATATGTACTCACTTCATTCATAGTTCATCCATTCTCGTTCTCATTTTCACATGGAATCAGAGCAGGTCCCCTCCTAGGGACTGTTCCTTGGGCCCACCGAAACGCGCCTCGAGTCGCGCCTGCCCTTTTTTTAGCGGCCCGTCGAGTCGCACCTAGCGGCCCGTAGTGCCGCCCTTACGGTCGCGTCGAGCCGCCATAGCGGCTGCGGCGCGCCGCCCCTTTTCCCGGCCCGTCGCCGCCCTTACCCGCGGCTTTACGCCGCCCTCACCGGCGGCTTCGCGCCGCCCCTTACCTGCGGCCCCGCCGCCTCTCTCGTTGCGGCCCCGCCGCCCGTCTTCGCGGCCCCGCCGCCATCTCTCGCTGCGGCCCCGCCGCCACTCACTGCGGCCCCGCCGCCCGTCTTCGCGGCCCCGCCGCCTCTCTCGCTGCGGCCCCGCCGCCTCTCACTGCGGCCCCGCCACCCTACTCAGCGGCCCCGCCGCCCGACTTCGCGGCCCCGCCGCTTCTCTCGCTGCGGCCCCGCCGCCTCTCTCGCTGCGGCCCCGCCGCCTCTCTCGTTGCGGCCCCGCCGCCCTTCCCTGCGGCCCCGCCGCTTCTCTGCAGCGGCCCCGCCGCCCGTCTTCGCGGCCACGCCGCCTCGCTACGTCAGCGGCCCAGCCGAGCCGCCCAACAGCAGCGCAGCCGAGCCGCCCAGCAGCAGAGCAGCCGAGCCGCCCCGCCGCCGAGCCGCGCTGCAGCCGAGCCGCCCGGCCGCCGAGCCGCCCTGCCGCCGAGCCGCCCTGCTGCCGAGCCGCCCGGGAGCCGAGCAACCGAGCCGCCGTGCAGCCGAGCCGCCCTGCTGCCGAGCCGCCCGGGAGCCGAGCCGCCGAGCCGCCCTGCCGCCGAGCCGCCCTGCCGCCGAGCCGCCCGGGAGCCGAGCCGCCCAGCAGCCGAGCCGCCGAGCCGCCCAGTCGCCGGGCCGCCCTACTGCCGAGCCGCCCGACCTGCCCTGCCTGGTGAGCACAGCACCACTGTTACTGCGTGCCCTTCCCCTACTGCTTGCACTACTACACTGTCGTCGTCATGGCTACCCCTAGTGTCCTCGCTTTTGACGCTGAGGGTCGAGCCATTGACTTTGAGGTCTGGGTCGACGACCTGCAGCTGTTCTTACAGTGCGATAGGGCGGACGGTCTTTCCCTCTTTGACCTCACCTCTGGCGCCTCTCCTGCCCCTGCTGCTGATGCTGACCCCACTGTTCGCTCTCAGTGGGCCACCCGCGATGCTGCTGCACGTCTTGCTGTGCGTCGCCACCTGCCTACCACTGAGCGCGCGCACTTTAGTCAGTACAAGAGTGCTCAGACCTTGTACGACGCTGTAGTTGCGCGCTACTCTTCCCCTGCCACTGCTGCCCTTAGCCGCCTCATGCTACCGTACCTCTTTCCTGACCTTGCTGCCTTTCCCACTGTCGCTGACCTCATTACGCACCTCCGCACTAGTGACACTCGCTACCGTGCCGCCCTTCCTGCTGAGTTCTGCGCCAAGAACCCCCCCCCCATGTACATCACTCTCTATTACATAGTCACACGCCTCCCTGACTCCCTTCACGTAGTCAGGGACCACTTCCTCTCAGTCTGTCCCACCACTCTCACTGTCGACCTCCTCGAGAAGTCCCTCCTGGCGGCGGAGAAGAGCATCGTCGCTGTAGGAGCCTCTCGTGGTGACCCTCGCACCCCCATCTTTGAGGGGTGTTCTCCTTCCCCCCTGCTGCCCTCTGTTGCCTCTGCTGCTGCTGCCGACCTGCTTGGTCTTGAGTCGGTCTGCGCGGCGTCTGCCCCTAGCGGGAGACGCCGCCCTGGCAGGGGCAAGGGGGGCAAGGGCGCGGGTGGACCTGGCGGGGGCGGTGGAGGTGGCAGTGGAGGCGGCGGAGGGAGTGGGAGTGGCGGTGGGAGTGGTGGCGGGGGCGGTGGTGGCGGTGTCAGCAGCGGAGGAGGAGGCGGTGGCGGCGGCAGCGGTGGGAGCGGAGGCAGCGGTGGTGGTGGAGGTGGAGGCGGCGGTGGCGGAGGGGGTGGAGCTGGTCGGGGTGGTGCCCCGCAGCGTAGCGGCTCTGGTGGTGGCCAGCGTCAGCAGCAGCAGCAGCAGCAGCGTTCGCGGGACATCCCCCCGCCCCAGCAGCTCCGTGAGTGGTACACGCAGCGTCAGCGGGGTGGGGGTTTTGGTCCGTGCACCTACGTCCTTCGTTCCGGCGACCGCGCGGGTGAGCAGTGTGGGGGTGCCTACCCCACCCAGCGCTGCTTTGGCCGCCTGACGGATGCTTGGCGTCAGCAGTTCCCCGAGGCTAGTGAGATTCCCCGTTGGGGAGAGCTGTCTAGGGCTGGTGTAGCTATCTTTGATCTTGACTTTGATGCTATCCTTGCTGCCATGTATGCTGTGACTATTAGTGAGGAGGGTGACTGTTACCGGTGTTTCCCGCCCGACCCGGGCATTGGTACTGCTGCGCCAGGTACTTCTGCGGCTGCTGCTCTAGGTGCCAGTGCGTCTGCACTCTCAGGTACTGGTGAGGCTGCGCTCTCAGGTACTGCGTCGGCTTCGGCCTCCCTCACCTTCACGCTTGACTCAGGGGCTTCTCGCTCCTTCTTTCGAGACCGCACCACACTCACGCCGCTTGGCCGGCCGGTTGCAGTCTCCCTGGCTGACCCCTCTGGGGGTCCTGTCCTCTCTCACTTCTCCACTGTCCTTCCGTGTCCGGCTGCCCCCTCGGGCACCTTGTCTGGTCTGTACCTCCCCTCGTTCTCGACGAACTTGGTGAGTGGTGCTGATCTGCAGGATGCGGGGGTTCACCAGTTTACTCCTGCGAGTCAGCGGGTGACCCACTGCTCGGACGCCCGCACAGGCCGACACCTGGCCACGTTTTCGCGTCGGCCGGGGTCGAGTCTCTACACCCTGACCACTGAGTCTCCTCCTGTCCCTGCGTCTGGCCAGGTAGCTGCGTCGGGTCAGGTGTTTGCTGCTGCGTCCAGGTCTGGTCCTGAGTCTGCCCCCTGCTCGTGTCGCCTCCTGTCTCAGGAGACTCTCCTGTGGCACCACCGTCTTGGCCACCCCTCCTTGCCTCGTCTTCGGGGCATGGCTTCCCGTGTCCTTGTCTCTGGTCTTCCCCGGTCTCTCCCTCCCCTTCCCTCGGGACCCGGACCTTCCTGTGTCCCCTGTGTCG